GTTGGGAGATATTAGAATCAAGATCTAGAAATAGCAGATAACCACTAACCTATGGTTCTTTTTCCATGGACTTTGGTTTTCCTAGCGCTGTTCTCTAAAGTTCCTAGCCCACCATTAGGGTCAGAACCTTGGAGAGTTCCAACTAGCAGGGCAGGATAGGCTTTAGGAGGGGCATGTGACTACTGCGTTGGCATTAGGTAGACAGGATAAAGGCCCGTATAAACCATGTTGAAGCAAACTTCATTGCTTTCTTTTAAAATCTCTAAGATTTAAAAGGCTGGCACATTTACCTCTCACTAACCTTATGGAGATTTTGGTGGGACTAGAGATTTTAGTTTATCTTGAAGAACAAATGCAAAGTTGTTACGGCTGCAGTGGGGTCTATCTTAAATTCCGATGCTGGAGAGGCACATGGGGGTTTCTGTTTTAAAAGCGTGGATTACTTTTCTGTTATTTCCTGACCTATTATAAAATTAATTGACATCTTTGGTGAGGTTAGAAAGGTAAATTTGCCTTAATCCACCCTTGTTTTCTGGCAAATGCTGATATTTATAACTAAAAGGTTTTTTTTAAAATGTTCTGCATATTAAAGATGGTTTGTAAAACCTAAAGGTGAAGTCCATGCATTGCCAGCAACAACAGACTTTTGTAGCATAGTCAAATTTAGGCTGTCTACTTTTTTGCCTATATTTTCAGTCATCTTGTTTCGTGGTACTAAAAAAAATGTCAAACACTTAAGTTTTCATTGTTGTCATTTCTTTCTCCTAAATTTTAGGGTATATTCCTGGTTTTCATATCATATTAACAAGTTTGTGATATTTGAATTAAAACTTCACCTGACTATTAAATTTTTAACTAGTTTGTATTTATGATATCATGTATCATCCTAACTGTCTAAAAATATGAACCTGAAAGTTAATTTTAGGAAACATCTAACTAGCAAATCCTGTGGGTAATAGCACAGGGTGGGAAAATGATATGAAATTAGAACTTCTTGCAGAGTAATAGTCATGACATACCTATACTCTGTGTTACAGTTTGAAGGCGCAGTCATTATCTTTTTATTCTGTTTGAGAGAACAGGAGAGTAACTCCTTGTTTGCAATGCCAAAAAATTAATTCCATTCCCAAAAAGTATGTGTGTTGACAAGGGAGCTTCTAAAATTACATTAGCATTCCAGCAGATTATAGAGATAAGAAAAGTTAGAATTAGTTATGGATAACAATAATAAGGATTAGTGAGAAATAAAGTTTAAAAATGATATTGACTAGTGGGTGTTGTTGGTTATTTTTTTTTTAAATTTTTTTGGAGAGGTTTTTGCTATAGGGCACGTGCGCTTGCCAGACAGACAGAAAGCGAGAAATCACCCCCCAGGGGGGATGGCCACGCCACAATCCCTTCTCCTCCATTCTCCTCTCAGGATCTTGGGCACGCACACACATGCACCCGACGTGAGTTTAAGCCACCGTGTCCAGGACTCGAACTGCGGTCGACTATGTGGGAGTTCAGCGACATAGCCACTACTTTAACTGCTGGTCCCTGTTGTTGGTTATTGTAATAAAAAAGGGTTTTTTTTAAGAATTTGTTTTATTTATAATTACTATTATTTTTAAATTTGATATGGGCACATGCACTCACCAGAGAGAGAGAAAAAAAGGGAAAGTGAGAAAGTAAAAAAGCAAGCCGCCAGGTCTGGGACTTGAACCACAGTCTGCCATGTGGGAGTCCAGCATCCTAACCACCATGCCACCTGCTGGACCCCTTAGGTTTGTTTTTGTTTTTGTTTAGTGATGAGAGTAGGTCCATTTTATGGTTGTGGCTTGAGTTTGGACTAAGACTTCAATTTGTAGTTCACACTGTATTATATCCAAACACCAAGAGGCTAGTTTGGGAAAGTTTTCAAGTGGACTAAATAAGGAAGTGAAATTGTGTCCTAAGTGTCAATTTGCCACCATAAAATTACAAGTGAAGCATTACAGAATATAAGAAAATAAAGGAGAGCTAGATGTCAAAGATAAGTATAAGGGGAACCAGCAGTTAACGTAATGGCTGTGTCGCTGGACTCCCACGTAGTCGACCGCGGTTCACGTCCCAGACCCGGTGGCTTAAAACTCACGCCGGGCACGTGTGCGTGCGTGCCCAAGATCCCGAGAGGAGAATGGAGGAGAAGGGATTGTGGTGTGACCATCCCCCCTGGGGGGGTGATTTCTCGCTTTCTGTCTCTGTGTCTCTCTCCGTCTGTCTGGCAAGCGCACGTGCCCTATAGCAAAAATCTCTCCAAAAAAAAAAGATAAGTATAAGGAATAGTGGTATAAATAATAGGAATGACTAAGTTACAAAAGAAACCATTAATTAATGACTTCCATTTAGAACATGTTGAATATTTGGGACCAGCAATTGGCATAATGGTTATGTTGCTGGACTCCCATGTAGTCAACCACGGTTCGAGTCCCAGACCCAGTGGCTTAAACTCACGCCAGGCGTGTATGCGTGTGTGCCCATGATCCTGAGAGGAGAATGGAGGAGAAGGGATTGCAGTGTGACCATCCCTCCTGGGGGGTGATTTCTCACTTTCTGTCTCCCTGTTTCTCTCTGTCTTTCTGGCGAGTACACATGCCCTAGAGCAAAAAAACCTCTTCAAAAGAAAAAAAGAACATGTTGAATATTAAATAGTGGGATGATATATCCAGTTGATAATATTTCCTAGTTGGAATTTTATTTATTCAATATTTACTAAGCCCCAGAGATAAGATTTTTTTTAATATTTGACACTGAAGTTACTACAGGTTTCTTTTCTCCTCCTGTAACCCAAAAACGTGATCCCTAGATGTATTTTTATTGAAGAAATATTTAAACCAGTACGAATGAAAGAATCTTTGCTTTTCTTACCACCTCTGTGTATCGTCTTGTAGTAATCACAGTTTGATGATTTCCTAGCTCAGAAATTTGTTTATTATTGTTTAAACAAATTACTTTCCCTGGGCCCAGCTCTTATCATGGTGGTTAAGTGCAGTGCATCAGGAACCAGATCCCACATATCAAACTGCAGTTCAAATCCCAGCCACAGAAGTTTGAAAGATAGGCTGGGCATATATGTTTGCATGCCCAAAATCCTGATGAGAAGGAGGAATGGAGGAAGAGTGGTTGTGGCGTGGCTGCACCTCATTGGGTATGCACTCTTTCTGCAAGCACACACACCACACACCCTCTGGCAATTAAAATATATATATATATCATATATGAACAATATTCTCACTGTGAATGTACTAGAGAACATTGATGTGTATAATTTGAATGGATAAATTGTGCCCTTTCACAAATTTAAAAAACAAACTGTGAATTAACTATGCAATACACCTACACCATGAGATTTTCTTTCCTTCAGGAAACAAAAATCCAGAAATTGACTTCATGCGAATTATAAATCCTGGCACTGATTACTTAATCTTGCAGATTTCTAAGGATAAAACCCAAAGGCATTGAGGGTTCTCATTGGGTTTTCCCAATTTGACTGATAGGCATCTTTATTTATGTAAAAACGTAAGGGTTCACAAATATTTGAATAGTAGCACATAAGGCATTCTATTTGAACTGTTGATGAGCTATAAATTAAAAATAGAGCAAGCTCAGAATTTTCCCAAGGCTTTGGCTCCTTTTGGAGTTACAAAAGGGTTCTAAAAGGCTCTAGGATTATGAGATGTTAAACTCTACTGGAGTATTCGTTATTTAATTATAAGACATTTGTGCCTAAGATATTTAGTAAAATCTTAGAGTGGCAATTTTTTTAAGTACACAGTCAAAATCATAGTGAAGTCATTATTTTTGATTAACATTCTCATAATGATTGGACAGTTAAAAGAGATTAGATTTAATGTGTCTTAACAAATTCCTGGAAAACAAAATGGACTTATTGTTCAATTATTTTGAAGGAAGTAATGAGAGGATGGAAAAGATTGATTTAGAGAGATAGGTCAGATTCTGTGGAGAAGCTCCTGACTAAACAACAATGTGATCAGAAAACTCTTGCTCTGGACTCTATTGACAACATCTATGCAAACATACAGGGACTTTTTTTTTTTTTTTTTAAGAATTATTTTATTTATTTATTTATTTATTCACATGAGTTTTGCCAAGGAGAGAGAGAGAGAGAGAAAGCTTAAGCCTCCATGTCTGGGACTCCAACCACGGTTGGCCATGTGGGAATTCCAGCACCTTAACCATCACGCTACCTGCTGACCTCCCATACAGGGACTTCTAATACCTTTCAAGTCCTCAAGCCAGGTTCTAATGGTAGTCTCAAGGCTTTGATATAAGGATATAGAGTGAGACACTAGCTAAACTTGATTCAATCACTATTTAAATGGTGTTATCAAAACTTAAGAATTAGTGTGAAAGATACCAAATTGTATCTTAGAATTCTGTATTTTAGCCTAACTATTGTTTTAAATTTTGTGTGTCAGCAATACAGGGTAATAGTACGTTTGGGTTTCCTTTAAATAATGGTTCAAGACCTATGCTGATTTCTTTCCTGGTTAACCATATCTATGGCACAAGACTAACCACTTAAACCACCTGAAGATATCATTAAACGTAGGAGTTTAATCTTCAAACCCAGTTCTATGAGGTCATGTCCTTTTTGCCAAATAGTAATTTTTTAAAAGCCACAGAAGAAAACCTTTGCTCAAGATTCTACCTGTTTCTTGGCTATTAAGGGTCATCATCATTAAATTCTTAGATCCTGCAGGTTTCATAAACATTGTCAGTTTCTTTTCTTGTTGTTAAAATAAATATTTATTAAATAGGTACATTATTATAGGGATTAATATCCATTCTTCTATTTAATTGTATTTCTGACACTCTAAATATTTTTGTTTTGGTATACTACCACTAGCTTTGTAAAATTTCAAATTTCATTTTCTGAACCTGCCACAAGTGGAGGAGATGCGGGCTCCCTTGTCGGTGTTAGGTCCCTGAATACTGCCCAAGCTGGAGCCATTTACCTTTTTGTTGTTCTGGTGGACCACTCAGATTTGATCTGTTTTCTTCTGGCTCTTCAATCAGGCATTTTCTACTTGAGTTCTGTCCTTTCATCCGTCTTACTGTGAGTGACAAGCAGTTTCAGAGCTGTCATTTTGATACATCTTAACTCCTCTCCAGTCCTAAAATAAGTTGGCATAGAGATTTTTGTATTAGAAAGTACAGAGTACAAGATGAGGTCAAAGTAAACCAGAGGGAAATTTGTATTCACAATTTTATACAATGCCAATGTCTGTTGAAGTATTCTTATTGAATTGAAAAGCAACCTGAGAGGTGACATAATTATATACAGTCATGTGCCACATCATGATGTTTCTGTCAGCAGTGGACCACACGTACAGCCATCCCATGAGGAGCGTCCAGATTCTGTCATACAGCCTAAATGTGCAGTAATCTTGTCTAGATCTTTGTAAGTATACTTTATGAGGTGTACACAGTGACAAAATCACCTAGTGACTCATTTTTCAGGATGTGTCCCTATCCTGAAGCAACATTTAATTGAATACAGTCAGTCTTTCATTTCATGGGTTCAGTCAACAGCAGATCATAATTATTAAGTTGTTGGTAACATGTATTATGTGTTAGTCCCATGACGGTTGTAAGTGTATTGAACATGTGTAACTTTTTTCTTGTCATTATTACCTAAACAATTCAGAAGAACAACTGTACTAGCACTTACATTGTATTCGTTGTTATAAGTAATCTAGAGATGGTTTAAAGTATGTACAGAAGGGGCCAGCCATTGGTAAAGGCAGCTAGAATCCCACACAGCTGATAGCATGGTTGGAGTCCTGAATCAGGCAGTTGGAAAAACAAGCTGGGTGCATAGGCATGTGTGCTCAAAATATTGAGAGGAGAATAAAGGAGAAGGAATTGTGGGGTGACCATCCCCCAAAGGAGTGTTTTCTCACCACCCTACCCTCTCATGCCAACTAGCGCATGCACCTTATAGTTCTCCCTACAAAAAAAAAATATATATACAAAGGATGTGTGTAGATTTTATGCAAATACTATGCCATTTTGTATGAGAGACTTGAGCATCCTCAGGTTTGGTTATCTAAGGCAGGGTCAGGAGGGAGTCTTGGAACCAATCCCTCACCAGATACTGAGAGGTAAGTGTTTAAAACTGAGGTCTACAATGATGATTTGACCAAGATCTGAGAACAGAACCCTGTGTTTTTAACAGTAGTCCACTTTGTTTTAGAGCTATCTTCTTCAATTACTCTCTTGACTTAGGAGTTAAATACAACTAATCCCCTATCTCTTTTATCTTTGTTTACTTCTGGAACTGAATGATGATTGGGTCTTCAGAATTGGGCCTAAATAGTTGGGCCCCTTCTCTGGTATTAGACCTGGAAATAAGAGGTAGGCATGAATCTAAGAGTTAAACTAGCTTGGGTAAAAGTGGTCCAAGTTACCTCCTTCCAAAAAGAAACTTAGTCTTTTCTACATCATCTTACATAAAAGAACCAGCAGTTACTTAAGTCTATTTGGGCAGGTCTTAGTCCCATGTTTTTGGGGGCCAGTAAGGTTGGTTTTGATATGGAAAGATAACATCCACATGTGTAAAAATATACAAGTATTACATGTACTAAGGAATATAAAATATCACAGTCATAAATTGTGTGATAGAAATATCCAGAAGATTTCTTAATTGTTGTGAACTTTATAGTAGAACAAACTTTTTTCCAATATTGGAAATTGTATACAAGTCATATTTTTACTATGACAATATTACCTAACAAATAGTCCCCCAAATTCAGTGGTTTATATTAACAAATGGTTTTTGTGTTTGGGTCATCTAGATTGGCTTAATTTCAAACTGTAAGTTAGGTTCAGAATGGCTTCACATACCTCTCATTCCGAGAATTCTCTTCTTATGGTAGATGATAGAACATGAGAAATCAAACCGTGTACATTCTACATGACCAAGACCAAAATCAACAAGGCAGGAATACGTAGTACCTAATCAACTGAGAGGCATTGCAAAATCACATAACAAAGGGCAAATATATAAGTAATTTTGGTGTAGGAAGGGAATGAAGAAATGAGAATAATAATCTACCACAGACATATTTCAACCTTGTAATATCAGTTTGTCATGAATCAACTGTCCTCTTTGGTATTGGAATAATTGAGCAGCTAGCGAGAGTCTGTTTTCTCCAGTTAGCTCTTCCCTTTTCCTCTTCTGTCTGACAAAAGACTTCACAATATGTGGGCATACATCATAATCAGGCCACTGGCTGATACAGTGAGAGGCATGACTTACAGACTGTTTAGCTAACTTTTATTGCAAGAGCCTCACCAAAAAGTTGTTCCTCACAGCACAGCGTAATCTACTCTTTTGGTTCCCAGTGCCTATTTTTTTGTTTGTTTGTTTGTTTGTTTGTTTGTTTGGAGAGGTTTTTGCTATAGGGCGTGTGCGCTCGCTAAAAAGACGAGAGAGACAGAGAGACAGAAAGCAAGAAATCACCCCCCAGGGGGGATGGCCACACTGCAATCCCTTCTCCTCCATTCTCCTCTCAGGATCTTGGGCATGCATGCACACGCACCCGGCGTGAGTTTAAGCCACCGGGTCTAGGACTCGAACTACAGTCAACTACATGGGAATTCAGCAACATAGCCATTACACTAACTGCTGGTCCCCCCAGTGCCTATTTCTGAATGAACCAATCTAGCATTATATTTTAGAAAGTCATTTTTTTCTTTCAATTCACCAGGAGAACTCAATGAAATAAAAGAGATATATTTGCCCTTTGAGTTTCAAGTGAATGATGGCAATGTTTTAGGTCTCACATATTTGCTAAAAATGTAGATATCTTTAGAGTACATTGCTATAGAAACCAAAATAGTAATATTAACAGATCTGCTTTTTTCATCAGTATCTTACTGTAGAAATTTGACATTTGAGTCCTAATTTCTAAAAATTGTATGTTTTGGTAAACCATATTCTGTTCTTTCGATTGCATTTTTTTCTTTGTTAAGAAATAATTGCCTATCAAAATAGTATCTGGATGTATTTATCTGTGTAAAGAATGTGTTAAGAGTGTGACCAGATTGCATTTATAAATATTATTATAACACTGCTATAAATTGAGTAAATAGCACACATCATCAGTAGTTCAGCTTAGAGTGATTCATTTATGAGTCCAGTCATATTCATTACTCAAAAATAATTCACAACAGACTTTGAGGTCCTGGAGAGATGATAAAAATAGGTGGGATGAAAATACCTATTTGGGGATTGTCTGGAATGTTTAATACCATCAAGATGACATCATCATATTGTAGTATTAACTATGACTCTGGGCACTTTCCCAGGTTATTGAGTTGACATTATTTATTTTAATCACTGCCTAAAGAGTAGTTTGGCAGACCTGTTAGCAAAACATTTCTACATATGTTGTAATCAGTAAGAAAACCCAGCTATTGTTGTGGAATTACATTCAAAGTTTATGGTGTTTCAGACAGTATCTCATCTTTTCTGTGGGCCAGTATTGCCTCATGACATCTTTCTGTTGTCTTGAAGTGCTAACTAAAATTTTCTTTATGCCTTAGCCTCATTGACCTCCTTTTGGCTTCACAAACATACTACACCTGTTCCTAGAATGCTTTTTTCCTCAGTTGAGATAGTATCTTCTCATAGAAGCCTCTCATGATTGTCCTATCTAGAGTGGCCTCTCTCAAATAATTTCCTGTTGATCACCCTATTTCCCTGGCATGTATTGCATTCTGAAATTATAATTTTTATTTGTCTACTTATTCTTTGACCTTTTCACCATTGAAATAGAAATTTCATGAGGTCAGAGTACCAAGCTAAGTTGACTAAGAATGGAATTCTTTTCTACAATAATAGTTTTACTTTGTAGTAACATTTTTGTTCTGAATAGAATAAAAGAGATATAGGGAACCAGCAGTTAGCGTAATGGCTATGTCGCTGGACTCCCATGTAGTCGACCGTGGTTCGCATTCCGGACCTGGTGGCTTAAAATTCACGCCAGGCGCGTGTGCGTACGTGCCCAAGATCCTGAGAGGAGAAGGAGAAGAAGGGATTGCGGCGTGACCATCCCCCGTGGGGGGTGATTTCTCGCTTTCTGTCTCTCTGTCTCTCTCTGTCTGGCAAGCGCACGCGCCCTACTCTGTCTGTCGAGCGCCCCGCCCCTTTGAAAAAAAAACCCTCCAAAAAAAAAAAAAAAAGAGATATAGACATAAGTATGAAAAATATTAGATCTTCAAAATACGCATGCCAAGGTGTGGTTAAAACTCTGTTGGAGAGTGTCTGTCTTGCATGAAGTGAATAAATAAATGTATAAAAACTTAAATGTGTGAAACTTGGAATCTACTTATTGGGGGTTTAGCTATTCTTAATTTAGGGGTGGGTAGAAGGTGACTTGAATTTTTGAGATTAAGTGACTAAAAGATGATTATAGTTACTTAGAATGTGGTAATCAAGTTTATAAAAAGAAAGATGAGCTCAGTCTTGATAACATTGCAGGAGCAGAAAGAAAATCTGTATAGATATCTAAGAAAGCAACTGTTGAAAGGTCAGATGTGCTTGTCAAATCTGGAGGGTTTTTTTTTTTAATTTCAATAATTATTTTATTTATTTATTTAAATTTGACCAGAGAGAGAGAGAGAGAGAAACAAAGTGAGAAGGCAAGCCGCCAGTTCTGGGACTTGAACTGCAGTCAGCCATGTAGGAGTCCACACCCTTAACCACCATGTCACCTGCTGGCCCCTAAAGATTATTTTTATAAAAATTCCAAGTAATGAATGAAATCCCCAGGGCAGTATTGGGAAATTGGTATTAAACCTAAGATTTTATAGATCCTCTTCACATTACATACATAATTGAATGTGTGTATTTGTATATTTACATATATACATATCATTTTCATTAGATTCTCAATAGGGTCTGTGAACGGAATGTCTTGGGCCAGAGTGTTAAGATAGCTCTTGATTAGGAGTAACTAAAGGGGCACACCCCCTGAGACAGGTACTGAATGAGAGATTATGAAAAAGAACTAGTACTGCCCACTTTGAATAAAGTAGATCGAAGGTTAGCCACATGAAGGTGACAGTTTAAACTAGTTCTGTTAGGGAAGGGATATAGAAACAGAAAAGCAAAGGCCTAGACTAGATTGTGGTGGTTTTATGTAATTAGAAAGGACCCACTTAGTTAAAGGAATAGAGGAAACCAAATAAACATGAAATCAACAGGAAAGAGATTTTGGTAACCAGTAAAGTGTGAAATGTCATTGAAAGGCCTTTTAAGAGATGAGCTGACTTTTTTTTAAAAAAAAAAAAAAAAGATTGGACCAGGAACTTAGCAATCATTAGCAATCGTGTTATTGTTGTTGTTATTTTGTTTTTTAAGGTTTTTGCCATAGGGCACATGCACTCCCCACAGAGACATTGAGAGAAAAAGTAAGAAAGAAATCACTCCCCAGGGGGAATGGCCAAGATGAAGTCCCTTCTCCTCCAGTCTCCTCTCAGGATTTTAGTCACAACATACACAAACACATACACACATGCACCGGGCGTGATTTTCAAGCTGCTGGGTCTGGGACTCGAACAGTGGTTGGCCATGTGGGAATCCAGTGCCTTAATCACCATGCCACCTGCTGGCCCCATAATACTTTCATGTCTCACCACATCTCTGTTACAGATTGTTTGTATAATAATTTCATGAAACAGTTTTAAGATGTTCCTTGGGCCAGCCCCATAGCACAGTCATTAAGTGCTCTCTCTGTTTTAGTAGTCAGATTGCACATGGCTGGCCATGGTTTGATTCTCATTCCTAAAAGCCTGAGAAACATACCAGGCACATGGGTGTTTGCGCATGAAGTCCTGACAGGAGGGAGTAATGGAGGAAAAGGAATTGCAGCTTGACTCTGCCTCATTGGAGGGCGCTCTCTCTCTCTCTTTTCTGTTGTTCACAAGCACGTGCTACCTCTTGCAATAAAAAAGAAAGGTGTCCCTTGTCTGGTGAGATGTCAGAAAATTCATTCACATGCTTTGTTTTATGTAAATGTTTAATTTTTTAAATACGGTTAGGAGAAATAATAAATTTTTCAACAAAAAGATATAGAAGGTGCTTAGGCATAAAAGTAATTTTGAGGCCCAGCCATAGTGGTACAGAAGTTAGGGCACTGCTTATGATACTGGAGCCATATGGGAAGCCTGGGTTCCAATCGGGTTAACTGAACGTGCCGGGTGTACTTGCACACATCTATGATCCTTGCTGGTTGCAGGGGAGGATCACATCTTGGAAAGACCTTGTCAGGGATACCTGGCTCTCTCACATACACACAATAAATGAATCAGTCCAATTAACTTTGAAAAATGAAAAGAAAAATTATTTTGAGTTATACTGGGATTACTGTGCTACTTTCAATTATCTGGTCTTGGGCTCTCACCACTTAGCTGGACTCCGGTGAAATATGATAAGAATTACTTTTCGAGTCAAGAAACTTGGAAAACAACATGTTATTTGAACACTAATCCTTGTTCATTAAAAATAAAAACAAATAAAAGAAACTTTGGAGAAAAAAAAGATTCCTGAGTGCTAATAGTAGGATTATTTTATTTTGGTGATTAATTGTAAATTCTCTCCTTTTATAGATTATCTTGCTAATCATGGGCGATTAAATGAGTCTGAAGCCAGGCGAAAATTCTGGCAAATTCTGTCTGCTGTTGATTATTGTCATGGTCGGAAGATTGTACACCGTGATCTCAAGGCCGAAAACCTCCTGCTGGATAGCAACATGAATATCAAAATAGCAGGTAACTGGGACACAGCTGGCTCTGAAACGGTCAGATGTGAACATGGCGCTGAGCATGTGGACTCAGACCTGCAGGCACAGGTCTGGGAGCATTTCTACCTGATGACTCCACACTTTCTCAAAGTGTACTTTAATCATTTCCTTAGTTCTAAGTTTAATTCAAAGTCAGGAAAATAAGTTTGTTGTTCATCTACATTAGGCAGGGCTACTCCTGGGGTCTGATTTGTGTCCAGGTTCCTTTGCAGGGGAGGGGATCCATTTGTCTGAATGTGAGAGAGAAGGGACAATCGGCTGCGGAGCAGCACAGGTGCAGAGACATTGAGAGAAAAAGTAAGAAAGAAATCACTCCCCAGGGGGAATGGCCACCCACTCTCTAAATCATGGCTGACGGCCGCAGTGAGCTTACAGAGAAAAGGCAAAGGAAGATAATGGAAATGGGATTAGAAATACTTGAGTCACAAAAGCACCTTGTCTTGTTCTTATACAGTAGAGTTTTAGTTGATAACATGGAGACTAAGGATAGAGATTATTTTACTTGTTTTCCTCCCACCCTTTTCACTGTTGTAAAAACTTAAATATATTATATTCTGAGTTTCTTCATTCTTATATCAATAACTCATTAACTCAATAAATCATAGAATATGGAAAATACCTGTCATGAAAAAAACATGGATTGCAAAATTTTTTTGCCACAAAATAAACTTGTACGTCAGTTCCATTTTTTTCACAAATTTTTGAAACCTCCCCCACCATCCCCTCTCCCCCTATGTCAGGTACCGTGCTATATTCAATACAGTCTGGTGTGTGGAAGGCATTCCACAATGTATATGTATACGAAAGCATCAGGTTGTACACCTTGAATATATACGATTTTTATCAGTTATGTCTTAATACAGCTGGGCTAAGGAGAAATACAATATGAGAGTTGTTATAAGGAATATACAAACTGTGGTAAGAATATGTGACTTATCAGTCTACCTGATAAGTTAGAGAATATTCACAAGGAAGGAGCTATTTGAATTTAGGCAGAAGTTGAATGTGGGAAGGAGGGAGACTTGGTTAGGGCTTTGAAGAAGAGAAAGGGTATAGGGTAAAAACTTAGCAAAGTTAGAAATGGTGGTGTTTCTTTCTAGGAACAGTAGATATACGGATGGGAGGAACTGACCAAGAAATTATTGCTTGGCTAGCTAGATCGGATAGTCATTGGATTCAGTAAGTTTAGCCAGAAAGCAGCTACTTCAGTTTGTTGTACTGCAGTATAAAATATAAGTTAAAAGCCTCTGGTGTGTATGTTGAACTGATTTCTTTCTATTCCATTTCCCATTAGTTTTTGCCTTGGGCATTTTGGGGAAGGTAAATAATTTTTACTGATTTTGTTTTAAATACCAGTGTTACGTATGTTAAAGGATACGTAATAGATTTTCCATTTGTATTCTGTGATTTTTTTTTTCCAGTGGGATTGCCTGATATGACAAAATACAATTTTATTTTTATGTGTGTATGAGTGTGTGTATGTGTCTTTACAATATGTGCAGTTGTATAGATTTGTCATTTTTGTTGTGAAAATGTGACACATGGCATTATGTTTCATAGTTTTGTTTATTTGTTCATTTTGTTCATTTTTTTTTTTCATGTATGTGTTTTTTCCTTCATCTTTTGGCCCAACTTGGTCTCATTCATTCCTCTTCTTTTTGCCAATGTTCTGTAATGCACTTCAGTGGAATTTTTTTTAAAGAATTACTTAATTTTATGTATTATTATTATTATTTCTACTACTACTACTACTTTAAAATTTGCTATAGGTCACATGTGCTCACAAGAGAGAAAGAGAAAGTGGAAAAGTAAGCCAGGTCCAGGACTCTTAACTGCCGTTGGCTTGAAAGCATCAGCTCCCTTAAAATTGTCTTTTACTGAAATTGTCCCTTTTTTTTAAGTCCTTAGTTCCATAGGGAGGGGAAAAAAAAGGATCCCCCACTTTTACAAAAACAATAGCTCAAGAGTTTTAGGAGTATTTTTAGACAGAAAGGTTAAAGGTGTGAATCACATGCTGCAGGAATTACAAAGTGCTCTGTCCCTAACATCTCAAGAGAAAATTTCTAAGTAAGATACCAAGGAAACTTGCAAACAAACAAGCAAACAAACAAAATAGAATATTGCTGTAAAGGCATAACCAAGTTTTGCCTGACTACACTATGCCTTCTATAATATAATTCTGGCCTTAGACAGAATATTTCTAATGTCATTATGTGATTTCTAGGTTTTTATTTTGCTTTTGTTGTTTTGTTTTCGCTTCAGTTTTTGGATACCTAAGCTTCAACCCCTAGTTACATAGACGACTGATAAAATGTCAGACACCTCAAACTGATCCCTCTGATTAAGATAGTGTGCCAACTATCATTCAGTTGAGGCTTTGCTATTTTCAGTCCTTCTGCTAGTACTTACCTCATTTACTCTTCACTGTAACCTTGACAGCAGTAAAGCTGTTGCCAGTTTTCAAATGAGAAAGCTAAAACTCAAAGAGATTAAATAACTTCCTAAGGTGATGCACATAATAAGCAGCAGATCTGGAATTCAAACTTCAGTCTCTCTGACCAATATGTGTGCCTCCTCCACCGTGCCATGTTACAGTTTCTAAGCATCGTTGTGGCAGTTATTGCACAAGGAGTGTTTGCTAACTGAATTAGCAGTACCATTATTCTACATTTATACACTCTGTGTTCCTGCTTCCTTTCTTCACAAGTCCATTGAAACTGGAGATAAGTCATATCCCCAGACATACACACATACACACACACACACAGACTATATCTAAGCGCTCAGATATTTTCTTACGTACACTTGTTTCTCTTCATCCTCACGTACCCCAGCCCCAGATTTTAGTAAATGTCCATTGGCCATCTGCTATGTTCCCTGGCTAACACCTAGAGATTCAAATATTTCAAGGCAAAAATAATAGCAACAATAACAAAAAAGCTTAACTATGCTCTCATCCCAAGTAGTCAGTCAAGTAAGGAACCAGACCTTTAAGTAAATATAACACAAAAAGGTTGTTGTTTTCAAGGCCATCAGGCTAGGAGAAAGACTAGCTCTGCTTGGAAGAATCAGGGAAATTGTTAGCTAAGGCTTGATTAACAAGAAGGTATTTATGGTACTGTTGGGAGTGAAAGGGAGAGAGGTAGGGTCAGGCTGAGGTGGCTGCTGCAAGCAGATGGATCAGCATGTGCAGAGGCAGGAACCAGCAAAAACTCAGATTGTTTATAGAAACTACAAACCTCAGCTAGTGAAACAGAACAGGAGCCAGTGAGGAATGATAGGAAAAGTCCAGACAGGTAGGCAGGAGCCAGATCAGGAAGGAGTCCACCTGTCGTAAGAACTTGTCATGTGTTCCAAGTGCCTCTAAGGAATTTCTCCTGGATATTTATTTTATCCATAGATTTTACAACTTATTGATGGTTTTGCTTTCCTTTCAGAACATAATCTTCAGATCTCTGAATTCTTTAAATTTTAAGAAATCTTACATATGGAACATAATCTTCAGATCTCTGGATTCTTTAAATTTTAAGAAATCTTACATATGGGGGCCCAGCAGATGATGTAGTGGTTATGTCACTG